TTTTGACACAAATTTCACGATTCGATTCGATTCTGATTCACAAGCTTGCGATTCGATTTTTTTTTAATATAGGCTAAACATTTAAATGCTGGCTGTCATACAAAACCTGACGGATTTATTCAAAAAATGAAACATTGAAGAACAGTAAAAAATATAATAAATATATTATATTTAGCAAAATGCCCCTCTCTACAGTTTATTTTTCTATCTGACTAATGAGTTTATGGCCACCGAATATGTTTTTTCTGAGGTAAATGTGACGTTACGTGACACATTGTTTATAAGTCGTTATATTATCGAGGCTGAAACACTGACTGAGCGATTAACATGAGACAGGATACGGATTGTAAAGTTGTACTCTTTCTTTTAACTTACCTTCGGATGTTTAGTCATGTTTATTTTGTGCTGAAACTGGTATTAATACGGAGGAGATGATCAGTTCACTGAGGCGCTACATCGATCTGTCACCACATTAAACAGCGCCAAAACGGCATTTATTGCTTGAATACTGCAATGCAATCTGCAATATAATGGACAGAATTTAAAATCTGAGACTTTGTGTCATATTAAAAGTACCAAAGCACAATGCTTATTGCGATATACTGGATGGGAAGTGCCCTTCAGTGTTCCGTCCATTAACTGAAAACAGGCTAGACTAATCGATTCTTGGGATTTAAGAATCCATATCGTTTCGTAAAAATGAAAATCGATTAAAATCGATGTCTCAATATTTTTTACCCAGCCCTAATTTATACCTAACTTAATAAAAATAACAACAAAAAAAAAAAAGAGTATGCATTTTGGTAATTAAAATTTTGGGATAAATTGTCCTGAAAATATTACATAAATTATCCTAAAACTAGGCTCCATTTTCTTCATGCAAAATCGAATTTCTTTTGGGTTGAAATTTGACCCAGTATCAGTCAATCTATCTATCTATCACAATATCTATTTTTTTAATAAAGTAACTTATAAAAAAATTTAAAATATTTATACAAAATTTAATAATAAAATACAAGAATTTATATACAAAATATAAAAGTATGCATTTCTAAATTATGTATATTTATTGAAATGAACATTATTATTAAAAAATTATTTAATACTGTAAAATAAAATACTTAATGAAAGTATTTTTCATTGTTAGTTCAGGTTAACTAATGCATTTAACTAATGTTATTTATTTATTTAAACCAAATATTTAATTTATACTAGGGCTGGGTTTTGACACAAATTTCACGATTCGATTCGATTCTGATTCACAAGCTTGCGATTCGATTTTTTTAAAATATAGGCTAAACATTTAAATGCTGGCTGTCATACAAAACCTGACGAATTTATTCAAAAAATGAAACACTGAAGAACAGTAAAAAATATAATAAATATATTATATTTAGCAAAATGCCCCTCTCTACAGTTTATTTTTCTATCTGACTAATGAGTTTATGGTCACCGAATATGTTTTTTTCTGAGGTAAATGTGACGTTATGTGACATTGTTTACAAGCCGTTATATTGACATCTTTGCGCAGCTGAAACTCTGATTGAGAGATTACATGAGACAGGATATGAATTGTAAAGTTGTACTCTTTCTTTTAACTTACCTTCGGATGTTTAGTCATGTTTATTTTGTGCTGAAACTGGTATCAATGTGGAGGAGATGATCAGTTCACTGAGGTGCTACAGCGATCTGTCACTTCACGTTAAACAGCGCCAAAACGGCATTTATTGCTTGAATACTGCAATGCAATCTGCAATATAATGGACAGAATTTAAAATCTGAGACTTTGTGTCATATTAAAAGTACCAAAGCACAATGCTTATTGCGATATACTGGATGGGAAGTGCCCTTCAGTGTTCCGTCCATTAACTGAAAACAGGCTAGACTAATCGATTCTTGGGATTTAAGAATCCATATCGTTTCGTAAAAATGAAAATCGATTAAAATCGATGTCTCAATATTTTTTACCCAGCCCTAATTTATACCTAACTTAATAAAAATAACAACAAAAAAAAAAAAGAGTATGCATTTTGGTAATTAAAATTTTGGGATAAATTGTCCTGAAAATATTACATAAATTATCCTAAAACTAGGCTCCATTTTCTTCATGCAAAATCGAATTTCTTTTGGGTTGAAATTTGACCCAGTACTTCTTCATTGCTGACCCTCATATGAAGGTGGTTTAAATGATTTGATCACAATTATCCCTTTCAGTGAAGCGATATTTGCTATTTTTATTTTTGCTCTTTTTATTTTATCGATTAATTCGAATTTAATGTTTGCCATGATTTAATTTTTTATAAATCAAGGAATCACGGTTTTGAATAGAAATATTTCCAAACGTTAGAATTAGACACTTTGACTATGCCAATGATAACAGTAAAGAGAAAAGAACAATCCAACCGTATGTCGCACACGTGATTAACCGCTCATATCATACAGAGTGCGCTTTTGTGATGACAAAGATGCGAGGCAGGCAGTGGAATAGGAAAAACATGCAAGAAGGTGGGAGAAATTTCACGATTCGATTCGATTCTGATTCACAAGCTTGCGATTCGATTTTTTTAAAATATAGGCTAAACATTTAAATGCTGGCTGTCATACAAAACCTGACGAATTTATTCAAAAAATGAAACACTGAAGAACAGTAAAAAATATAATAAATATATTATATTTAGCAAAATATGCGTTTTTATAATGCAGTTTCATGCATGAGATGCTGCAAGAGATGCGAGGTCAACAGTCATAGAAAAAAAACAATGCAAAAGCAGCTCAATCGAATAAAAGACCTGTAAAGAACTACTACTGTATGTCTGATATTTCATGTTTGCATCATGGTGACAGGCTGACAGCTGCTGTTCATTACAGAACATTTATAGTAATTAATAGTCTACTGGTGTTATACCTTCAGTCATTCCGAATTTGAATTACCTTGACTTTGAATTTTTTTAAAGCATTTTCCTTGTATTATTTCGGTACGTTTGTACAAGATGCACAAGATAAGACAAGTTTGTACAATTAGTTGCAGTTCATGCAAAAATATTTAACAAGATTGTTATTTACATTATGTTGACAACTTCATGTGGCGCACTGGGAATATAATTTTTTTTAACTAGAAAAAGTTACTTGAATCATGTTGTAGTTACATTTTCAAGTTGACTCGTTCAAAATCGAATAAAAATGTTCTGGGGGAAAAAAAAAAAAAAATAGAGATTTAATTTTTTTTTGCCATATCGCCCAGCTCTAATGTGACCCAGAACCGCAAATCCAGTCATAAGGGTCAATTTTTTTAAATTGAGATTTATACATCATCTGAAAGCTGAATAAATAAGCTTTCCATTGATGTATGTCAGGATTTGATATATTGATGTAATTTGATGAATTGTTAGGATCAGAGATTTGGCAGAGATGCAACTATTTGAAAATCTGGAATCTGAGGGTGCAAAAAAATCTAAATATTGAGAAAATCATCTTTAAATTTGTTCAAATGAAGTTCTTAGCAATGCATATTACTAAGTTTTGATATATTTACGGTAGGAAATTTACAAAATATCTTCATGGAACATGACCTTTTACTTAATATCCTAATGATTTTTGGCATAAAAGAAAAATGTATAATTTTGACCCATACAATGTATTTTTGGTTATTGCTACAAATATACCCCAGCGACTTAAGACTGCTTTTGTGCTCCAGGGTCACATATGTGATTATGCTCATATGTGAGTGTTTGAGTGTGTTTTCACCTGGCTGGCGCTTTCTTCATGTGCTCCCCGATGAAGGTGGCGTTGGTCATGCCCATCAGCGTGTTGGCCAGCGAGATGACGGAGAGCAGGTGTTGCGTGGTCACGGCTCTGGAGACGCCATACGTGCCTTTGCCCACGATCTCGGAGACGGAGAGCTTGCGGCCCTCGGCGCATCCTTCGGCCAGCTGCCGGAGCAGCGAGTCTTTGAAGGTGGGCAGCATGAGCGACATGTGTCCTCCGCGGGAGATCAGGCCGAAGGAGACGGGCGTGTGCGGGCGGAGCATGCCCAGCCGGGTCAGACACACCTCGTCCAGCTCTCCGTTCAGACCCCAGGCGTGCAGGCAGGACATGAAGAGCTTGGCCGTGTCCATGGTCAGATTGTACTCCAGCAGACTCAGAGACTTGGACTTCTCCTCGCGCCGCCGCTGCTCCTCCTCCTCTTCCTCGTCTTCATCCAGCAGGTGCTCCTTGATGTTTTCTTTAATGGTCTCCTTCACCTGTGACATGAGATAAACAATAGCATCTTAAACTATAGCTTTCTTCCTGTAAAATCTGAATACAAAAAATAATATTTTATAAAATATAAAAGTTTTAAATGTAAGTAAATACAATTAAATAAAAGTAGTGCTGTTAAACGATTAATCGCATCCAAAATAAAAGTTTTTGTTTACATAATATATGTGCGTGTACTGTGTATATGTATTATGTATATATAAATACACACACATACAGCATATATTTTGAAAATATTTACATGTATAAATTTATATTCATATAATTTATATCATACATAAATATATTTAAGGTATAAACATAACATATTTTTCTGAAATATATACATGCATGTATTTGTGTGTATATTAAATAAATATACACAGTACATGCACATATATTATGCAAACAAAAACTATTATTTTGGATACGATTAATCGCAATTAATCGTTTGACAGCACTTAATAAAAGTAAATAGAAATAAACATACAAATAGTTTAATTAAATATAATATTTAATCGATTAATGGCACACGTTGCGATGCCACCCGACGTCAGAATTTCACGTATAAACATAGTTCGTCTTCGTTACGATGCCATATACAGTTTTGGGTGTTTCATTTTAAATTTTTCACGAAAGCTTCAAGTGCAGTTAATTATTTGTCATGCCATATGTGTAAACAGACAACAGCGCTGATAAAGCCATGCACTTTTGTTGTAAAGATGTAACTGTAAAGTGACTGTAATGGGGTAATCACAATAGCCTTTTTACTAAATTACTCTGTTTTTTTTTTTTTTTTTTTAGTTGAGTAAATTTAACTTCTGCTTTAAAAGCACAATTTTTGTTTTTAGATCGCAATGTTACAATGTTAGAATGTAATGCGAATTTAACCCTTTTTGCACATAATATATGCCTACATGGTTACATTCACTTTATTTGTTTAATCCAAATACAAAAATACATACAGTATACTGCAAATCAGCCAAAAACTACCGAAATATGAATTTGTGCTCATATCGCCCAGCCCTAAAACTAGCAAAAGTCTGAGTCTGACCTGTTTGAAGATCTTATTGGCTAGGAAGGACCCGCCCTTGTCGGCTCCGCCCTGCGCTTTCTGCAGCGTCTCTGGCGAGATGAGGGTGGGATTGGGCCGCTGCGCCTCCTCCGTCAGTAACTGGATGATCACGGCCTCCACGTCGAAGAACAGCACATGCATGTCCGGATCCGTCACGTTGGTCTTCATGGCCTGCACCACCAGAGAGTTGTGCGAGTATTTGGGAAGGTTTCCCTGCAGCGAGACGCAAAGAAAGAGACATTTATTATAGAAAACTAGAAAGGACATCTCAGTTTTGTGTGCTGCCGCTGATACAAAGCAAACTGTGTGTGAAACTGTAAAGTTGAACAACAGAGAGGTTTGGGTCAATGATTTTGCTCCGGCGCTCCGGATGATGAAAAGAAAGCTGCAGTGAGAGCGGATGAGAGCGATTTCTGAACCAAACAGCCTTTTCCTTAAAAGCTAAACCTGCGCCTTACAAGCCAACAGGCTATAAAACCACCGTAACAACACTGTAAGACTGATGAAACATTTTCTTCTTTTTTATAAGAGGAGAGCTGATGAGAATTGATGCATCATTCAAAATGAGTATATGATAAAGTACATTTTGCATTAATAATGACTCAAACTGAAGCAGCAATACATTTTGGGGAATATTTTAAATAAATTAAAAAGAAATATTTAAAAAGAAATTAAACTAAACAAAAAAATTAAAATACACGTTAAATAAACTTTAAATTAAATATAAATTATTTATTAAAATAAATAAATAAGCAAAAAAATAAATAAATAAATCAGCAAAATAATCATAGTTAATGATGAATTTATATTATTCTAAAAACATTTAGAATTTTATATTACGTTTTTTATATTAATTGATGACATGAACAAAACAGAACATTTCGATAATTTGTGTGTTAACGTCAAATTAAATTTAAAATAAATGTAAAAAATTATTTTGCTAAATCAAAAACATTTTTAATACATTAATTAAAATAAACTAATCAATTAAAACAAATAAATAACTTTAAAAATAAGTAAAATAAGCAAATAACAGCAGATTAATCATGATAATTTTATTTTATTCTAAAAACACACCATGCTAATTTTCAATTCAATAACTGAGACGAATTGTGTTCATTTAAAAAAAAGGTAACTAAAATAAAAAAATTAATTTCAATAATTGAAATAAATTAATACATCAAAATAAATGATGAAATAATGAACTGAAATGAAAGCACTAAAGTACATAAAATAAAATAAACTGAAATAAATGCATTAATTCATTAAAGTTGAAAATTAATTAATTTTTAAAATGCATTAAAATAAATACATAAATAAACAAACAATAAACCAACTAATCAATCAATCAATCAATCAGCAAAACAATCATGATCTTCTTTATTCACTCTAATAACAGACTCCATGTTCTTGAAGTAAACTATACTGTCTTTGATTTGTGATGTGAAACACGAGCCGGATGCGTTCTTCAGCATTTTCTTGTGATTCAAGCCGTTCTTCTCATCAACGCTAATAACAAGGCTCATTATAACGGCAGTAATCAGCGAGTCGTCTTCAAACACATCGGTCAAAAGTTGCTCAGTGCGCGGGATAATCAGTTTATTTCCTGATCTGTGTAATAATCTCTAATGTTCATTAAGCCCTGCAGCATTCATTTCATCTCATCTGCTTCCAGTCGGCCCGTATTAAATAGCGAGCTTGCTAATTGTTATTCAATGTTAATTCGATGAACAAAGCACCTGCGATCCATTAGAAACATCAGGGAGGATGTTTACGAGCGGCCGCTGTCAGACGCGCTTCCGAACCAAAAACTTCTGCTGAAACGTGATGCTTTAGAGCTGAAATCTGCATTAAATAAATGAGCCATAAGAGGCTGTGCATTGAAATTATTTCACTATGGTTACAAACTGCAGTCTGTTCATTATGGTTTTTACTGCAGTGAAGTGCTTCTTACAAAAAAAAAAACTGATGCAGACGAAATGAAATAAAATGATTAGAGTATTCCTGAACTACCGGGTCTCAGTAGCAATTTCACATATCTTTTATATTTTAAATAAAATAAAAAAATTGAAAATATGTGGGTCTCAGTAACAAACAAAGGAGGAGAGAGCATGAGGTCTTTTATTTTCCTTCACGTTTCTAGCAAACCAACAAAAAATGCAACCGTTTCAGTCTGGCTTCAATGCAGACTGTGAAAGAAGAAAAATATGTGAGATGCAGATGAAATAAAATCATCTGAACTTAATAAAATGAATAAATGTCTCAAATAAAATAAAATAAAATAAAATAAAATAAAATAAAATAAAATAAAATAAAATAAAATAAAATAAAATAAAATAAAATAAAATAAAATAAAATAAAATAAAATAAAATAAAATAAAATAAAATAAAATAAAATAAAATAAAATAAAATAAAATAAAATAAAATAAAATAAAATAAAATAAAATAAAATAAAATAAAATAAAATAAAATAAAATAAAATAAAATAAAATAAAATAAAATAAAATAAAATAAAATAAAATAAAATAAAATTAAATTAAATTTCTAGATCTCAGTAGCAATTTCACTTGTATTTTATATTTTACATAAAATTAAATTAAGTTACATATAAAATAAAACAAAATATGTGAGATGCATATTAAATAAAATCATCTGAATAAATTTATAAATGTCTAAAATAAAATAAAATAAAAATTCTGGATCTCATTAGCAATTTCACTTGTATTTCATATTTTACATAAAATTAAATTAAGTTAAATATAAAATAAAACAAAATTAAATAAAAAATGTTTATATCAGAATATTTATATTTGAAATGAAAAATATACAAAATAAGAATATACAAAGACTATAAAATACATAATATAAATAAACACAATAAATTAAAATATATAAAATCAAATAAAAAAAATCTCAGTAACAATTTCACATGTATTTTATATTATATAAAAAAATTGTTAAATTAATAAAAGCTAAAATATGCTAAATAAAATATAAAAAAATTAAACTCATAGCATCAAATAAAAAATATAAAATGAAATTTAAAAATAAAAATAAAATACGTGGGTCTCAGTAACAATTTCCATCTGTCTGGCACTGCTGTGCTGAAGAATACACTCTGTCTCTCTCTCTCTCTCTCTCTCTCTCTCTCTCTGTAAGCCCCGTCTCACTCTCTCGCTCAGACAGTGTTTCCAAGGCCAGAAGCACACGAGCGCATCATTAAGACGAGCAGAGCACTGTCCGTCCCAGAACCGCTGGGCTATTTTAAACACATAAGATGAGCATCATTACTGGACACCTGACACCAGAACCTTTCCACACGGCTCCAGACTCTCTCAGCTCGTCACGTGATGCTTTTAATCACAGTTTAACCAAACATCACTGCTCAGCACATTAAAAATACACACCAAATGGAGCCGTTTCACTCTTAAACATAAATCTGGAGCACTACTGTGTATTCATCATCAGTATATGTTATTGTTTATAACATCTTAATATTTTCATGCATTATAGTTGCATTTATCAGATTAGAGCTGGTCGATAATATACATTATGCACCAATATAATCAATCACGCAATATAGTAAATATTGCTTTACGTGACTCTACAGTATGTATGCGGCTAAAGTAGAATGTGATGTATATCCAATTTAACACAGTGAATATCAAATGGCAAATCAACTCTAGACGTGTCCACAAAAACAAAAAGTGAAATGCAATAAGTCACCATGAATATGAAAAAGTGGCCAAACCATAGGCTGAATAAGAATATTGACTATTTTACAAATGCATAAACAATACGATGTGATTTACCAGCCAAACATTATTATTGTTATTATTATTACTTAGCACTCCTATACCTCAAACAGTAAAGTATGATGCTAGCAACGCCAAAGTCATGGGTTCGATTCCCAGGGATTGCATGAACTGTTAACACGAAATGCATGTCACTTCGGATGAAAGCATCTGCCAAAAGCATGGATGTAATTGTAGTTTTAGCCAAATGATCAAAGATGAATCTGACTGCATGCATGACTTTTCACATCAATGACATTATATCATTTTTAGTATTTTATTATTTGCATTTAGCACAGTTGTCATCGCACTGTCAGCAATCCTATGAAAGCAGAGGCGGGATGGAGACACACTGCCCTCTAGAGGACACCACCGCTGCTAAACAAAGACAGAACAGTACTTTACAGCAAGGTTAGGATTAATGCCTTTCATTCATTCCATCATAGCATGTCAAACGGTGTTATTCCTGCTCTCATACGTCCACATGAGCAGATATGCAGAGCGTGAGTACTAGATTACAGATATAGGGAAATATGAACAAATTAGCCAAAATATAGAAATAAAAGAGTGAAGAAGTGAGTACATAAAGGATGGGATCTGCAGAGAAGATACTCATTTACTGTCATGTCAAAAAGCATGCATGATTGAAACTGTAAGTACATCTGTTGTATATTAGCACACAATACAGTTTCATAAAAGCAGGCTGCAGTTCCAAACGTTAATTTATAAAAAAAAAAAAAAAAAAAAAAAAAAAAACCATTTTTGCTTTAAAAGTTTTGCCTTA